CTTTGCCCTTTCGATTTCTACCTCCATTGTTTCGGCTTCTTCGATGGTTGGGCTGACGAGTCTTTGCGGCTTTCCTACCCCGAAGCGATTGCAGCTCAATAAGAGATCTGTTATATGGTTTTCTCAAGGAATGTGCTCGATCCTGAAGTGCTCTAACCTCCCCTTCTCCGCCTTCACCTTTGAGAGATCGAGCCATCATTTCCTCTTCCTGGCTTCAAATCACCCGTCCAGCTAACTGACTATCAGTGGTGAATCGACTTCACTACAAGGTGTCAAGTACCGACCTCATAAGTGAATCGTAGTCCAACTATGAGAGCCTCATATTCGGCTTAGTTGTAGATCACTTGAAATCTGGTTTCACCTAATGGTAGACATGATCTCCAGTCGAATTGATCAAGCCAAGCCCAAGTTATACTCCAACCTGGTCGGATGCTCAATCGATATGTAAGACCCCAAGTCTGCTCCTAGGTTGTTCTGTCGTTGGAAACGTCAACTTAGGTGAAGTCCGCCAAAAATTCTGCCACGACTTCAACTTTGATCGTCGTTCTTCGTACATAGGATAGGTTGAACTCGCTGAATTCCATCGCCCACTTAAAGATCAATAAGAGTGCTTTGATTTGACGAGAACCACCTTGAGGGGATGATCGGTGATTATCCTGATCGAGTGTGTTTAGAAGTATAAGCGAAGCCTGTGTGCCAAAATAAAATGAGAGAAAAAATCAAATTTTTCAAAATAAGGTACTTGAGTTCTGCTCTCTTAAGAACTCGACCGGCGTAGTAGACTAGAAACTGCTTCCTTTGCTCTTCCCGGACTAAGACGAAACTTTATAGCCTAAGGGTCGACTCTTATGTGAAGTTAGAATCTTTCATATAACTTCATACTCTGAATAAGGGGTGGAGAGGCCCAGAGACTCTTTCAACCACTGAAAGACTCGCTTACACATGTCCGACCACATAAAGATTTTAGCTCTCCTTAAGGTTTTAAGGAAAGCAGAAACCTTATCACCCAACTTGGACATGAATCTACTAAATCCTCTAATTCGGCCTGTTAACCTTTGTAAGTCCTCAATATTGTACGGGGATGACATGCCTAATAATGTATGGACCTTTTTGGATTAGCTTTGTTTCATTCGAGTGTCAATATGTACCCTAAGAATTTTCCTATTTTTACTCTGAACGTGCACTTGAGCGAAATAAGTTTCATTTCATATTTCCTTATGGTTTTAAAAAAAAATTAGATTCCTTACTTAGGGCGTTCAATTTTTACCTAGCGCATCATCGACATAAACTTCAATATTTTTTACTTTCTGCTTAGAAAAATTACATCAACCATTCACTGGTTGGTCACACCCGCATTCATAAGTTCGAAGGGCATTAGTTTGTAATAGTACACAACCTCTTTGGTAATGAATGCAGTCATCTCTGCATCAGCCGAGTACATCTTTATCTGGTAATAACAAAAAAAAACATTAAAGAAACTCATGATCAAGTGTCTAACCTCTGTATCTACGGGTGCATCAATTCTTAGTAGGGGTAGCTATCTTTCTGGCCTTATTAACCATGATCACATTGGTGAAGCAGTCTGGGCATTACACCTCCCATATTTAACTGTCCTCCAATAGCTTCTGCGCCTCTTGTATCAGCTCTACCAACAGAATCGTGGATGACCTCATCTTCTACTTCATTGATTGGGTACTCCGAGCATTTTTGTGACTAATCAAGCAAATATGTAGGGGTGCTCTTGGAGTATACTAATAAGCTCGTCCCTATGGCTTGCATCAAAAGCTTAACTAAGAAGAAAAAATTGACTTGTCTTGCGGACCGTGATGGAAACTTCCTCAATGGTCTCTAGACCCCCATCATTGAGTGTAGAGCTTGAGAGGTTCTTGATGCACGTTGCTGATGGCGTGTAAGAAACATGTGTGTGACTACTCCAGGTCACCTCGCACGATGGCTACTTCTCATCGCCAGGGAACTTCACCTTCGTGTAGTAGGTGGATAGTACGACTTGGAAGGAGTTTAGTAGAGGAATACAAAAGAAGGTATGTCACTGGCAAGTCAACAACGATGACATCCGCCATGGTTGTAAACTGTTTTTTAGCTTCTCCCCATTTGATAGTCAAAGCAAGCGTTCACAGGGTTTCCATTCTTTCCCCTGAGATGTTGTAGAGTGGCCCAGGTGTGGCTAAGAGACGGGTAGCTGCCAAACCCATTCCAATAAAAATTGATTTGAAAATGATGTTCATTGAGCTCCTAATGTCAATGAATATGCTCCCGACTTGGAATTTAACAATGAGGGTGATGGCGGAGAAAGCGTCGTTGCAAGGATAGCCTTTAAGGGACAGGTTTTCATCTGTAAATCAAATCAGCAGACGTTGTGTGACACGTTGTGGAAGCAAGGTTGTCGTGCATAACTCCCCCAAATGGAGCCTCTTCAAATTTATTTGGTGTGTGGCCTCACCTTGTCCCCCAGAAGATGGCAAGAACAATGCCCACAATGTGATGGCTTGAGCTTGAGTAAGTTCGTTGAAAGCTTGCTCGTTAGGTTTTCCCCTATTGTTCGGTAATTGCTCCATAGGCCAAGAACTCCTGGCGCTTCTCGCCCTTGATCAGCTCTTCAATCAGGCTATAGAGGTGTCAATTCCTCCGTGTCATGTCCGTGGTTTCAGTGGTATGAGCAATATCTCTTGGGATCCCAGAAATAGCCTCTAGCCTATATTGGTGATGCCTTCTTGAAATATTCTTTATTCTAATTGACTTCTACTACTTTCTGCCATTAAAACCGAAGTTAACTAAGGGAGTTCGTGGGTTGGGGTGGTTTTTTCTCTGCGTGACAGTCTGGTCTTCAATCAGGGTATTGAACTCGGTCTTCCTGGGGGTGAATTTTCATTTCCAACATCAGATTGTTCAAAGACGCATACGTGTCTTCAAAACGACCCCTGATCGGCAGTCGAGAGTTGTGCCTTAGTCTCCAACCTTCTCTGTGGGCGCTTCTCTCCAAAGGGTGTTGGTTAGGCTATTCTGTTTTAGAAATAAATGGAGTTATATTCTTCTGCCAATAGGCGATTGTTGGTGAGTTATAGTAGCTCGACCAACATTTTGGGGAGTTGTAAACCCAACGGACAACGGAATGGGGGCCCTCCATTAGCCCATGGGCGAGGGTTGCATGGGTCGTGAGGGCTGCATGGGCTAACGCAGGTTCCGAGCCCCAAACTTCTAGTATCTTCTTTAGGAAGTGGGTAATAAAGGCACGTAGGTACTCGCTCTGCCCCAAGAACAGTTCCAGCAGCGCCTGCGAATTCTTGTGAGACTTCTACGTGCTAGCAAATTATGTGATGAACATCCTCTTGAATTATGCAAATAAGGTGAACACCCCCAATGGTAAACCTTTGAGCTACCGGAGGGCTGACCCTTAGGGTCATAATAAAAGGCAACATTTTAGAGTGTTATTTATCCTGAGCATGCACACGAACAACTTAAAGAAGGCAATAAGTTAGGTAAGTCGGGTTTGATTGTCCTCGATAAGATTCAAGGTTGAATCTTAAAATGCTCAAGAGGCTCGGCTTCAAATTTTTTTCTTGGAGAAGCATTATGCAACTATGCAAGTCATGGCACTTTGGTGCGCTCGTATTGTGCTTGATAAAGTTCAAGGGGCTCGGCTTCAAAAACTTTTACTAGAGAAGCGTTCTGTAACTACGCAAACTGTGGCGCTTCGGTGTGCTCGTATATGTGTTAGTCAAGTGGTGTTGAACCTACTCTGTCTAGGTAGTGAGTGTCTTTATCACCATCTGACGCTAGAAGGATTCTCCTATCATTTGGTGTGAGTACTCCTGTGAGTGGTGAGATTCTATCTATCAAGGCGGTTGCACTCTCATCTAAGTTAGTACATCGTTGATCATCTCCAACATATATTTTTTGAGAACGCTAATTTGTTGAGCCACGAATTCTCGAATGCAATCCATATTATTTGTGATCTCTCGATATTAAGGTGTTTCACCTTGAGTTACCCCTCTACTTATTTGTGGTATGATACATGTTCACCACACATTTTCAAAGTGTTGAACCAAGGTTTGGTCATGAATCCCACCAAAAGAATAGAGCAAAAGAAGAGTGGGAAAATGAGAGAGAGAGAGAGAGAGAAAGCTTCAAAAGGGGCATTTATGTCTCAGGTTTCAACAACCAAGCTTATATTCAATGCCTCATTTATTTATAGGGGGCTTGAATTATTGAGAAATGACACTTATGACCCTGATTCACCTTGATCGGCCGACTTTTGATCAGTCTATTTTAGGTTGGTGGACTCCCAAATAATTAGTCTCTCGCATGTCGTCTTCTTGTCGGTTGGCCTCCAATCGGTCGGTCGCTAAGTCGATTGGCCCTTGCTCTATCAGCCTTTAATCGATCGGCATCTAACCAATCAGTCACTTGATCTCCCTCTTATGATTCAATCACTATTGTTCAATTATCCTAGCATCAAGTACACCTGCATTGCTTGAGATTCATCTTTTCACATATGCCTTTTTTTGAACCATTAGATCCACGGAAGATTCAGCAAGAGTATTTTCACTGCACACCGCTAAATTTGTTACCAACCAGCACCTATGAAAGGCGAAGCATAATATTTCAAAATAAAATGAGAAAAAGGAAGGTGTAGCATGATCATAGAAATTTCAGCTGTATATTCCAATTTAGCAATATCTAATGATAATGACCGGAAAAAAGGGTTATTCATAAATTCCGAACCCCTAACATTCCAGGGATTGCAAGAATCTCTGCCAGCCCTAATCCTTCTAATTGAACTACAGTTAAAACTTTTTTATTCTCAGGCATTTGAAGAATTTTCTTACATGTAGCCCGATCTACTGCAGTTAATTTGCTTCTACCAATACAGGTGGATGAAACAATTGTATAATACTTTTACATTACTCAAATGGGCAGGCTAAGCCCTCTTCATACAAAAATACTAACGTTATTAAAGACAAACAAGGCGTCCTACTCACAGTATCCTGCGGTGCACCGGCTTGAGCCCATCCCGCACGTCCGGGAGGGCTCGGCTGAGAAGCACGGACATCGCCGACGCCATGTAGGCCTCCTTCGCCTCCTTAAGCAACTCTGTCGTAACGATCTTACCATTCCAACTACCACGGTCGCTGCCATCATTAATCAACACCGTCCCGTTGCTCCCTTCCTCCTCCACTTTCCGCTCCCTCGTGTCTTCTTTATCCCTCCGCCTAGGGTGCCCGGTCGAGAGAAATTGAAGCTCCAAGAAGCCGCTGCGGGGACAATGTCCAAGAGCGGAGAAGAGGGGCCGGAAATGCACGAGAAAGAAGGAAGTCAGGCGGAGCTCAGAGGAGAGGGCCATTACCAATGCAAAGGGGAAAGAAAACTAGGTTTCTCCTCCCGTACGCAGCATCCGTCCGTGGTTTGCGATACTTTCGGCGACAAAATTCTTCTCCCAAAAGCTTTATCGGAGGCTGCACCGTACCGAATAAAAAATAAAAATTAGTCACAGAATGCGATTGCTTTTCAGCATAAAAAATAATAGGTGATTTTTATGTCCGGCCCAAATCCCGCCTAAAAAAAAATATGTTTTTATCATTTTCGATTCCCGTTAATAGAAGAAAGTGTTATTTTATCTGTTTTAGGGTACAGGGATTCAGTATATTCTCATTTTTCCCTCATGTTCGTTGGAGCTGGTTCGATGGAAATAATTTTTTACGAAAAAATATTAATGAAATCTCAAAATACTTCTGAGAATCATGACAATAAGATGAAATCTCATAATATTTTCGAGAATAATGAGATTGAGCAGTTTTAAGGAGTAGATGGACATCGGCAGGTACGTTGAGGTCTTGTTCGAATGCAGTTCTAGGTTTTAAGGAGTAATTTTATTGCTAATGAAATTTGCTCTATTTTTAGATGAGTTTTAAGCTAAGTTTCGAATCGATGGGATGTGGTGTTATTTATGAAATATAATGGTGATACAGTGGTTATTATTGTATTTGATCTATATTTTTTATTATTCATTAGAATATTAGTTGGGGTTTGATGTTATTTTGGTAGTATATGGTATCATAATGTAAAGTGAATGTTTTGAGGATTTAGGGTGCGTTTGGGACAGCTTATTGAGGTGTGGTGGCGTTTTGAAAACGTTTTAATAGGCGGGGACGCGGAATCGACCCCGCGTCCCGCGTCTAGATCTCACGTTCGGTTTATAATTACTCTCGTGTCCTCTGCTCTCCCTCAATCTCTACTTCTCTCTAGTCTCGCCTTATCGTCGCTCATGCACAACTCAAAGAGGAAGCGGCGGAGACATGGGGGACTGCTTCAACATCATCGTCTCCCTTCCTCACAAGCAAGAAGTGATGCTTCTGCCTGCTGCTCTCAACCCTATTCGTGCTGGCTTCGCGCTCCAGCGGATGATTTTCTAGGGTTCATCTCTCGTTTCCCGACCTCCCCTCCCCGCGCTCTGCGGCAATGGCATCCACGGCTTGCTCTGCGACGTGTATTGCTAGCGGGGAACTTTTCTTCCCTCCTCAGGCCATTCGTAAGGAGAGGCATCCTCCGAAGTTCTGCGGTGGAGGTGTGCCTTCTGCTTATATTAGCAATGGTGCTCTGGTGAATGTTGATTTTGTTTTCTACTGTAAATGTATTTAAAACTGAAACTGTTCGGAATGAAAACTTGCTTAATTATCATAAGATTTTTGTGAAAGATTTGTTGTTGACCAGCAACCTGTAGAACATTTTAGGAAAATTGAGTAGGTTTTACTCTAAAATTAATGGAATTAAGTGAAACAAACATATTGAAAAATCAGAGAACCTCATGTAAGATAATTCTTGATTGAAGAACTTGGGATAATTCTTGTAAGAGAACCTCATTTTTGTGAGAGTGGAAGAATGGTCATTTATTCAGCAACAACTGCCAATAAGTTGTTCTGCATAAGCTCCCCCAAACAACAAGATAACTTATTTTGATAATCTGCAGATTATCAGATTATCAGGATAATCTGCTTATCAGCAGATTATTAATAATATACAGCTGCCCCAAACAGACCCTTAGTAATTTTGGTAGCATCACAGTGTTATTTATGTATTATTATAATGTAAAGTCAATGTCTTGAGGATTAGGTGTTATTTTTGTAGTATCACAGTGTTATTTTGTTGGTATCATAATGTAAAGTGAGTGTCTTGAGGATTTGGTGTTATTTTGGTTGTATCACAGTGTTATTTTGGTAGTATCACAATGTAAAGTTTCTTTCATGTGGATTTGGTGTTATTTAGGTATTATCACGTTGATACACTGGTTGTTTTTGTAGTTGTTTTTCCATTTCTGGTTGTTCGTTATAATATAAGTTGTGGTTTGATGTTATTTTGGTAGTATCACGTTGTTATTTTGGTTGTATCATAATGCGTCATTACTGAATGTTATTCATGTGACAGTATCATAATGTAACGTTACGGACGTGAGATTTGGTGTTATTGTGGTAGTATCACAGTGTTATTAAGGTAATGTTGGATCTGCTGAATTGATTTTATTTTAGGAGGCCAGTAACATAGCTTAACGTCATTTAATAGTATTATTATGGTATTAATATGATATTATTATCTTGTTATTTATGTATTGTAACATTGTATCTATGATATTTAAATCTGCAGTCACCCGATACAGAGAAATTGCTTAATGCAGTTGTCCACAACGAGAATGAAGCATATGAACAGTATTGTTTATATGCACACCATATTGGATTTATTGTGCGAAAGGAACACAATGGTTTCTGACCGAATTCAAAGAAGCTGAAGACAAAGGACTTTATTTGTGGTAAGGCTCGTTTCAAGAAAGAGTTGAAGGACACTATCACTTTGAGGTTCAAAAGAGCGGACACAAGGACTGATTGTCCAGCAATGATCTGATACTTCATTGATTTAGATGGCAACTGGTCGGTAAAGAAATTTGTAGAAAGTCACAACCATCCGTTGGCGAAGGATGGTGTCAAGCATCTACTGCGTTACAGTAGAAAGATGTGTGATATCAGTGTTGATATCCTCAAAACAATGACAAAATCAGGGATTAGAACCAGTGATGCATTCAGATTCCTCGGATTCTCCTCGCAAATGAGGTTGGAGGAGTGGAGAATCTTGATTGCACAAATAGGGATGCATATAATTTCATACAAAGAGAGAGAATAGTTCAAATTGAATTAGGGGATGCTAATTCTCTCATACAATTGTTCACTACCCGACAAACAGATGATCCAATGTTTGCGTGCGACTTCCAAATTGATGAGTCAGGATGTTTGGTGAATTTTTTATGGTGTGACGGGATGTCCAGGATTGATTACGATTATTTTGGGGATGTAATAATATTTGACATAAGTTATAGATTGAATAAATACAATTTATGTTGTGCTCCGATTGTCGGTGTGAATCACCACTGGCAGAATGTTCTATTTGGTGTTGGTTTTTTGTCAGATGAAACAATTGAATCATTCAAGTGGTTATTCAGAGCTTTTATCCGTATAATGGATAACAAGCATCCGATAACAATATTCACTGACCAGGACCAAGCAATGTCTAAAGCTATTGAAGAGTGTCTTCCGAAAACCAGACATAGAATGTCACATCTACAAG